CCAGCATTGCTGGGAATTTGCTCCTGAATCCCTCTGTGGTTCCTGTCTGCCAGTCCTTCATGAGAGATAGGTAAAAAAACATCCCTTGAGCCACTTTCCAGCTGGAAGAATTCCAATGTGGTGCCAGGCTGTGTTTGCACCTTCAGTCAAGCACTGACCCCCCCAGATTTGGGGGGCAATTGACCCCCAGGGTCCAGCTGCCCATGCCCACTGTGTCCCACCACGCTGCTCCCAGGGCTCCATGCGTGGTGGGGCCTGTCCTGCACAGCTCTCCAGCAGCTCTGCAAAGAGAGCAACGAGCCTTTTCCAGGAGAGCCTCCCCACCCCAGCACTATTTTAGGCTCGGACCATGAGGTGGATGGGTCTCTGCTGCTGGTTTTAGGAAGGCTTGGTTTCTGGACATGTGTTTACCTGTGTCATTGAACACCAGGATCAGTGCAGAACCTCTTCCAGCAGCACCAGCCATGCTGGGGGAAAGTTCTCTCCTCCTGGACACCTTTTCCAGCATCTCCTGTTCTTGCAACTCACTCAAAGCCTCTTGAGTAAGACCTCGGCTGTTGGGTTTTTTTTTTCAATCTCTGTCTTATTTACTATTCTCTAGGCAGTCCCAGAGGGAGGTGCAGAAGAGGAAATGAAATTTGGCAGAAAGCTCAGCATGTCTGCTTGAAGAAAGCCATCAATGGGGTCAGCAGCAGCAGAGCTGCCCCTGCCAGAGCTGACTCTGAGGGGTTTTGTGGCTTTGCTGTGATCCCCCTTCCCTCCCTGCAAGTCTGGGAACCCACAGCACACGTAGGCCAGGCCGATGGGTTAATTTTAACACACTGTGATGTATTTATTTACAGTCTTCATAGACGCAACATTGTTGGCCACAACAGGATGCTCCTGTTTCGGGAGCCAGCTGCCTCAGCACCTTTGCAAGCACCATCCTGAGGGAGGGGGATGCCCTTGGAGGCTGCAAACACATCCCAAAAAAACCTGGGTTCTGTAGGAGCTGGGAGGAAACGTGAGAGGCACCTCCATCACCCTGGTGCTCCGGAGCCCTGAGGAGGAGGGCTGGGGAGCTCAGGGGGGAGGAAACGAAAGCTGGGCTAAAAAAACCCAACCCAACTGCTGGTGGAGGAGAGAACACACCCAGCTGGCCAAAGCCACAGAGCAAAGCCCTCTGTGCACTAATGTGGACAAGTGTCACTGTTTACAGCTGCTTCCAGACAGCACCACGAGCATCGGGTCCCCTCCAAGGGCCTCTTCCCCAAACTGCACCAGCCCCGGGCAGCAAAGGTCCCCTGTGCCCTGTTTGCACCCACCTGGGAGGTCTCCTCGAAGGGATTAGTGGGAAAAGGGTGGGAAGTGCCTCTCTGAGCTCAGCGCCCACCCACCAGCACCTCTGGGGTGGCAGGAGGAGATTCATACAGAGCACCGAGGGATGGACAGAGGTACAGCATGAGGAGAAATGGCCTCAAGTTACACCAGGGCAGGCTTAGGTTGGATATTTGGAGACATTTCTTCCCTGAAAGGGTGGCCAGGCACTGGGAACAGGCTGCCCAGGGGAGTGGTGGAATCCCAGCCCCTGGAACTGTGCAAAGAACCTGCAGGTGCGGCACTTGGGGGCGTGGGTTAGTGGTGCTGGGTTTACAGTCAGACTCGATCTTAGAGGGCTTTTCCAACCTTATTCCAGCCCCAACTCCCACCTCCAACTAACCAAGCCTATTTTGAAGCTCCTTGGCTGCTGGGAAGGTGCTCCCATGTCTCCAGAGCAGCCAGTGGGTACCAGCCCCACCTGACCCCGTTGGCACCATGAGCAGAGGCTTCATTCTCCAGCTGGGTAGGCTTTTGCTGCCCCTCATATACCCTTCAAAGTTGCTGATGGTCCTGAATTAGGGCATCCTGGAGGGAAAATGCAGCCACCCTGCGAGGCAGCAAAATCGGAGCTGCTCCCACGGAATGTACCTCCTGTTCCCATGGGATGTGCCCCCTGCATCACACAGGGCACATTTCTGCCTCCCAGTTAGGTGGCTGGGCATCTTGCCAGCCAAGAGACCACGAGAAGTGACCAAGCCACGTTGGATCAGGGCATCAGTTTGCACTGGCACAGATTTAGATGAACATTCACCCTCTCCTCTCCCACCAGCCAATGCCAGGCAGGTCTGCAGGCTCAACCCGACAAATCTGCAAACCTTCCATCCTTTCTTCCACTAAGACTTTAAAAAAACAAGCAGTGAAAAGAGATTTGATAGATCCCAGCTTGTCTCAAGCCCTTCTGGTGTCTCCCTGCGGGTTTTAGCTGCACCCATGGGTGCAGCACAGCAGGGCTCTGCCGTGGCCACCCAGCTCCTCCCATTCCTGTATCACATTCCTCCCCACTAGTCAACATGGAAATGTTTTGAAAGTGTCTTAGAAACCTGCCCTGCTGCCAAAACAGCTGAAAAATGAAGCCGTGGAGGGAACTGTGGGGCCGCTTTCCAGGTCGGCTCGCACGGGTCTCGCCGCCGTGTTCTGCTGCTGCAGCTGCACAAATCATTCCCTTCTCAATGGGATTTGAAACATCTGCCTCTTCCTTTGGCTTCTTTGAGCCGCTCTGGAGCTGGGAAATGGAGATTTGGGGGCAGGGAGGCTCTTGGTTTGGGTGCCCTGGGTAATAGGTGAGCGTCACCTGCATGAAGGGCAGGAATCAGGAGGGTGGGTCAGGGTGGGCACCCTTCACCCTCCTCCCGTGTGCCTCCTGCCCAAACGAGTGGGAAAAGGTGAGAGAAAGCAAAAGGAGGGAAAGGAAAGGCTTTTCCTTGCAGTGGGCAGTGAGGCTGGGAAGCTGCTGGGACTTCAACCAGGCTTGGAACAGGTCTGATGGGAAGAGGACTCTCCAGGGGACCACTTTCCTGCTCCAAACAAGCTCTTAGAAAAACATCTCCTCTTGCCTGTGGAAGCATCCAGCAACCAAAGCACTCCGGAGGTCGTGGCCATAATTAATCACCCTTGGAGATGAAAAAGGCGCCTTCCTCTTGTTTTTGAGCCTTTTGGCTTCATCTTGTGGTGGAAGATCTGCGGGTGTTCAGCCCTTGGAGGACCAGGCTGGGGGAGACGGCGCCAGGCAAGGGCTGCTGAGCAGCAGCAACCCCCCCACGGGTCACAAACAAGCCTCTGGAAATCATCCACAGCTCCATCCATCACCCCTGGACATAGTCCCTCCTTCGGAGGGAGCCTGGGTGAAGGATTCGGGGGATGAAACCAAGGTACTGTGGGCCGGTTAACCCAACCTTTGCCCAAGAAGTGCTTCCCAATCCAGGAGAGGTGGGTTTAACTGGGCACCCAGGGCACTTCACCTCACTCAAGAGCTCTGCCCAGGCATCTCCCTCTGCGCAAGCAACGAGCTTGTCCTTCCTCCTTATCAGCCCCAAATAGCTGCGACGTGATGTATTGTTTTCCCTCCTTAAACAAATTACATCAGAAGGAGGAAACGGGCATATTTTTTTCCCCTTCTTTTCTGGCAGGGATGTCCATCACCAAGATCTGTGCAGCCGCATTTCCGTGCCAGGCCTTCATATCCTCCTCCTCAGCCGGCTGCTGCTTTCTGCTGCTGAATAATAGATGGCACTGGTGCCCTTCCCCCTCTCCATCGGGGGCTTTGTGGTCCTCTCCCGGCCGTATCCGAGGAGCCCCTCCACGGAATGAGATCCAGCTGGAGCAGGAGGATCTGGCTCCCACCCAGGGCCGCAGATGGGGAATGCACGGGGGAACCCACGGCCGTGGAAAACAACGGGGCCACCTGCATGTGAATCAGTGGGGCTTGTTCTCCAGCCCCAGCCCGGCCAGGGAACCTCCAGCCCCCCCCAGATTTGGAGGTTTGTCGCCCAGGTGAGTGAGCCCCACTGGGGAGGTGGGGTTGGACCTGGCCATCATCCCTCGGGCAGCAGTCACCCGCAGGGAGAGGGTGGTGGCCCTCCAGAGCTTCCTGCAGCTTCTTGGGAGGCTGTGTTGTGCCAGGACACAGCAGGGACAGACTCCAGAGATGATATGGGGGCCATGACCTCCCAGCTCACACCCACAGAACCCAAACTTGATATATTTCCTAGAAATTTAGGGCAGGCTACAAAGGTGTGGGAGGGCCCTCCACAGCTTCCCAAAGCTTCTCGGGAGGCCTTGTCCTGACAGGGATGAATGGAGACAGATCCCAGAGCATCTCCACAGAGGGATTTGGCAGACACAACCTCCCAGCTAACACCCACAGCACCCAAACTCTATTTCCTAGAAATGCAGGGCCCTTGAAGGACTTCTCTTCCACAGGATGGTCCAATACCCCTTATGTTTCTGTGGATGTTTTGCATCCCAGCAGAGGGATTCGGACAGGTCTGCTCCTCCCTGGGGGAGCTGGAGCCCCGTTTGTGGCTGAGCCCAGCCCCCCGCAGTTCCCAGGAGAGCAATAGTAAACAATGTCCTTTGTAACACCCACAAATTGCTGTTCAGGAGTTTGTTTCTGCCTCTTTTCGGTATCGCCGTCCCTGGTCCCGTCCCCGGGGGGGCTTTGGGGGGCGATCATCCCTCTCCCGTGTCAGCCCTTGGAGGACTGACATTCCTGGAGGATGGGGGGTTCCTGCCTTAGCCCGTATCCCGTTCCCGTTCCCGGGGGTCAAGGGAGGAGCGGTCGGTGCCCGATCCCGCTCCCAGCCCTGATCCCATCCATACTCCCATTCCCGGCGGAGGGAGCGGGGGGCTCCTGCTCTAGCTCTAATCCCGGTCCCATCCATGGTCCCATCCCGGCTCCTGTTCCGATCCCAACCCCTGCGGGGGATGTCCCGTCCCTGTCCCAGCCCTAATCCCACCGTGTCCCCATCCCGGCAGGAGCATTCCTGTCCCGTCCCGGGGGTGGGGGCGGTCCCAGCACTGGTGGGGGCGGTCCTGGCCCCGGTCCTGCCCCGTTCCCAGTCCTGTTCCCAGCGCCGGGAGGGCGGTGCGGCCCCACCCCCGACCCCGTCCCGGCTCACACGCGGCGCCGGGACCGGGACAAGGAGCGGGGCAAGGAGCGGACCGGGCATGGCGCTGCCTCCGCCGCCCTCCTGAGCGGGGCCATCGGCTCCGACCCCGGCACCGACCCCCGGCACCGACCCCCAGCTCGGCATCGCCCGGTGAGCGCGGTGGCAGCGGCCGGGGGGACAGTGGGGGCACAGGGGGGGGATAATGGGACCGTGGCGGGACAATGGGATGCGACAGGGAGGGACGGTGGGGAGGCGACCCCCGGGGTCGGGTGGGAGCGGGGACATGGGTGGGGGACACACGCACAGACGGGTGGGACGCACACATGGGTGGGGGACACGCACACTCACGTACACGCATGGGTGGGACACGGACACACGGACACACGGACAGACCGACACACACGCACACATGGGGTGGCACTTGCTGCGGGGTGGGTGCCACGGGTGACAGAGAGTCCCCACGCACCCAAAGTGGGGAGCGGGACACTGCACGGGCAGAGCCGACCCCCGTTTCTCCTCGCATCCCCACAAACTGCCTGGACTACCACTCAAACTGCCCCAAAAAACCCAAAAATGCCCCCAAGCCGGGGGCTGGGAGCAGCAGCCCGCGCCCAGCCGCTGGCAGGAGCTGCCGAGCCGTGCACTCGAGGAAGCTCCTGCTCCCTTTGCTCCTCTTGGCCTGATTCATTTGATTTTTTATGCATTAATTCACGATCATCTCTTTGCCGCTCGGTTTCTCCCCTCCCGGGGGAATTCACTGGCTGTTTATCCGGGATTTCCCGTACACACCTCTGCTCAAAGCCGTGGAGCTCACTCCCTGCTTGCTCCAACGTGTGTTTTTCCACCTCTTTGCATGCTTGGGTCCCTCTTTAAACTCTTTAGGGGTGTTTTAATTTACACTGGAATGGGTGACACTCTGATTTCAAAACCTTTGACTCCTTTTAGCAGCTCCTAACCCCCAAAACGCCCTTCTTTTCCCCCAGACACCCTTCTTTCTCAGAGCTGGGCACCGCCTGGCATCACTGCAGGAACAACTTTAAGGGCAAAATGTCAAATTTCTCCTTCTGTTCCAGTTTTCTTATCAGGTTCTTGCAAAACCCATTTGGCAACCCACTGCCTTCCTGTGCATGAGGTGAGGAGCAGCAAACCCTGCTCTTGTGGGGCCACTGACACTGGGGGATGGTGCCCCTGGCTCAAGGTCACTGCTGCCAAAATTGGGCTCTTTTGTACCAATTTCCTCTTATTTCTACTCAAGCAAAGGGAAGTTCAGCCTCGACGCCTGATGGGTTAAGGAGGAGACCCCTAAATATACCAAACCTTGAAGCACGGCCGTGTTTTGGGGTTTAGTGGTTTCTAAAACCCCCAGAAGTATTTTGGACTGTCATGGCACTGAGTGACTTTATCCTGTCTCTGCCCAGTGCGATTTTTATCTCCGGCTCTTGACGTGGAGCCAAAACCATGAATAGTTGGCCGGCACTGGAGCGTGCTGGGGCCACACTGGGCTCCCTCCTCCCTGCTCAGCACCCCTCAGGAAACCAGGCCACAGAGCAAAGACCCTGTGGCTTCCATGGAGGAGAAAATCACCCCCCAAAGTCCACCCCATGGCGGTGCTTTGGCTTCCCGGCGACTCTGGTGCCGTGGTGGAGCCTGATAATTGTGTTATCCGAGGTCTCTGGTTATCTCCCAGAAGTTTGGGGTTGCCAGGGTGGTTGTGGGGTTACTGGGTGGCTCCCTTGGGCTGGTAGGTCTCCGTGGAAATGTAATTTCTCCCAGATATGGAGCTTGGAGGGGAAAACAGTCACCAAAAAGCAGGGGATTGATGCAAAGTGGTCCCACGCTCATCTCCGGGTCCAGCTGTTGCTTCCTCCAGCGAGCACCAGAAAATCATGGAGGGCAAAACCAAAGCCAAATTCCTGGTATAAACACCTCCAGGAAGCCTAAAAGATGCAAGTGTCCCATTTTTCATGTGCAATAAATAAAAAGCAAGGTCTGGGGGCTCAAATAGGATCCTCCCCCTGTCCCATGGGATGCTGCAGCACCTCCTGGGGAGAAGGTGAAATAGGGATGCAGGGGTAAAGCAGGCAGGGAGCATCACCTTTGCCAAAGCAGGAAGGAAGTGTTGATGGAGGATTAAATATTGACCTGGGTTGATGTTTACTGCCAGCAGGATCCATCCCCAGAGACCTGCCATGCTGGGAATCAATGGGATTGATTTCCCAGGGTGGGGACCAAGGCAGAAGGTTTTGGTACCACCTGGGAAGCAAAGGTTGGAAGGGGGATTGATTCAGAGAGGAATTCAGGGAGTTTCTTGGGGGAAACCAGAAATTGCCTGAAAAAATCATTTGTCCCAAAGCAAAACATTTTATTTGACCTACGAACAAAGCCATAAAGTCATTACATCTTTTATCCAAGCTCCCTTTCCTCTTTTGAGCTTGGCTCAAGGTACTGCAAAAACCCTCCAGGAAACCAAAACACTCCCAGAAAAATACTTTTCATGGAGAAAACTAATTCAACTCTGCTGTTTGTCAGCCTGGGGACAGGAGGGGAAACTGAGGCCCGTGGCTGCTTCCTGGGGACAGCTCCATTTGTGGAGTGGAGCTGCCCTCCAAAGGTGAGGGAAAGAAGAGAAACACGGATCCTTTGCGAGCTTAATCTGGGAGAAATGAGGGGTTCTGGCTATTTTTGGGGTGGAGGAAGGGGTAGGTCAGACCCATTGGGGATAAAAGAGGGACATGCCGAGGCTCCAGGCAGGGAGATGGATGAAGCCCCTGAAGCTGCTTGGGTATCCTGGAAATGGATCCTGGAGGTACCTTGCCTTGGGATCGCTGGAGAGAAGCTCCGGGAAGAGCTGGGGATGGTGGCACTGGGACAGCTGGGGATGGTGGAACTGGGACAGCTGGGGATGGTGGCCCTGGGACAGCTGGGGATGGTGGAACTGGGAGAGCTGGGGTTGGTGGAACTGAGAGTGCTGGGGATGGTGGAACTGGGAAAGCTGGGGATGGTGGAACTGGGAAAGCTGGGGATGGTGGCACTGGGAAAGTGGGGATGGTGGAACTGAGAGAGCTGGGGATGGTGGCACTGGGAAAGCTGGGGATGGTGGAACTGGGAGAGCTGGGGTTGGTGGAACTGAGAGTGCTGGGGATGGTGGAACTGGGAAAGCTGGGGATGGTGGAACTGAGAGAGCTGGGGATGGTGGCACTGGGGGAGCTGTGGATGGTGGCACTGGGACAGCAGGGGGTGGTGGCACTGGGACAGCTGGGGATGGTGCCATGGGAGAGCTGGAGATGGTGGAACTGGGACAGCAGGAGGTGGTGGAACTAGGAGAGCTGGGGATGGTGGCACTGGGACAGCAGGGGTTGGTGGCACTGGGACAGCTGGGGGTGTCCTCAGCCCATGCTGGCCAGAGTCAGCACAGAGGAGGAAGGCTCTGAAGGTCAACGTGGCAGACAGGAGCCCAGGGGAAAGGGCAGATGCCAACCAAGCAGTTTGGGCAGGCTCAGGTTGCAGCCTCGTCCCGTCTCTCCTCTCCAACCTGCCGGGCTCGGGGGTGTCCGAATGCACCACCGGCTTGTGTTGGGTCATGGAGGGTTTGACCACAGTCCCAGAGGAGGGAAAAACCATGCCAGGTCGTTTGCTTCCCAGAGTCCGGAGTAGCTCCTTTTTTTTTTGATGAGTCCACTAAATACCTGTAAATTAGGGCAGGGAGAACACCCCTGCTCTCCTGGTGTCCCTTGGAAAGGAGGTGGTGGAGATGTGGGAAGTTGGTCTTGGTTTTGACCTCCAGCGGGAAGTGATGGGAGCTGTGGCAGGACAAAGGGCTGCATCTGTGAGGTCCTGCTGGTAAATTAATCCACATTAATTATTTGGGAAGGTCAATTAAACCTCATCAACCCCCGCCTGTGAAAACGGATCCATCGCAGCCGTCATTTGTTTGGGCTTGGATGTCTTTAGGGACTTTGCTGCTGCTGGCAGGTTCCCCAGGAATGGATGGATGGTGACCACTGGGATGGCACTGAGAATGCTGAAAAATGGGGCAGAAATCAGGATTAAAGCCCTTTACTCTGCAATTAAGTGTCCAACCCGTGGTCCCTTTCTGCTGGCCCGGGGTGCTGCCCATGACCTTCTCCAGTGACAGCTCCCTCCTTCCCCATATTGACTCATCCCAATAGCCACGGGAGATACTGTTACAGGGGCATTTTGGGATGCTGACAACACATGCACATGCCTGTGGGGAGATGTACTGCAGGGCATGTGGCCTCCAGGGCACGGATCTACCCGGGCTCCTCTTATCACCGGGTTCTTCTCCCATTCACTACCAGTTTTCTGGGGAAAAAAAAAACATATCCCATGGGATTAAACATACTGGAGAGAGAAGTGGTCCAGGCATTGCAACCAGGTCCTTGGAAAGGGCTGGGAGACAGGATGGAGCAGATGCAGGTGGTTGTCACCTTTGGGGAATGATGGGAGCATTCATCCTGCTTGGCATCCTCAGGGATCACTGTTGCTTCCGCCCTCCCCTGTCCCTGCTGGGGGCTGGATGTGTCACTGGCAGAGCTGGTGTACATGCCATCCGGCCTGTGGGCAGTAAAGGGCAGCTGCCAGTGCCAGCCTTTGTGCCTTCACATGCCTTGGCTGCCCGTGTCCCCTGCGGGTCACCGTGGATGCAGCAGAGCTGGGATTGAGGGGGTGGATGCAGCCACAGGCCCCGCAGACACAGCAGGTTTTGTCCTGAGCATTCTGGGCAAAATGAGGGTGAAAAATGAACAAGAAAGGCTTTTGCATTTCCAGAGGGAAAAGGAGGGAGAGCACGACAGCGGGGACAAGGCTCCATTCAGCCAGAGAGCCCCATTTGTGTTGCTCCTTGTCCTGGAGACGGAGATGGGCGACGTGGCACATCCCTGGCTCCTGGCACATCCCTGGCTCCGTGGTGGCAGCCAGAGGAGATTCCCCACCTTGGCTTAGGGAGGGGTTTGAAACACCTTGTATGGTTTTCTAGCTCAGGAGCCTGTGGGGAGGTGGCTGGAAAGGGGGCTGAGCTTGTCCCCATCAGTCTGCAGGGATAGAGGGGGTGCAGATGGAAAGGCACAGAGAAACCCCTGCAAGGCTGCAGCCTCTGGAACCCTCCGGAACCCTGTCACCCTTCCCTGCATCTTGTGTGGCTCCTCTCGGCCACGGTGGCCTCTCTGACCCGTTTAATCTCTTGCCATGTCTGTGGGCAACCTCTCTCTGCCTGGCCACAGATTTGCAAAGCTCTGAGGGAAGGCAGGAGTTGCGGAGAAGAGCAGCTGGGAAGTGTTTTGCCGTCTGCCTGAGCGCTGTTAACCCTCTCCTTCCACAGCCACAGCCCCTCTGCTGAGGGCTCGAGGGAAGAAGGATGGGGCTAGAGCTGATCTGAGGGCAGGAAAAGCAAAACCCTGAGGTCAGGGCAGAGCAAGATCAGTGCTGGCTCCTCGTGTTCATCACAGAGTGTTCCCTAAAGTTAGATTTGGGGTTTTACAGATGTTGCAGATGTACAGGGTGTTAGCATGTGTGTGGTTTCCACTCACATCCCTGGGCAGTGGGAGCCTCAGCCAGTGCTCTTTGTGGTCTGCTGGGAGGGGAAAAGCAGTTAAATGGGGGGAACAGCAGCAGGGATCGTGTCTGTGCCACTTCTGGACAGGTTTGTTCGGTCTTTGGAGCAAGGACTGGAGTGTCCCCTTGTGATGGGCTGGAGGCATCACTTCACACCTCCTCCATCAGCTCAAGGTGCTTTTTAAGGAGTGAGAGATCAACCAGGTTGGCGGCTTCCCTGCAGGATCTGACCTGGGGTAGGGGCAGGAGAGCTCTGGATCCAAACCAAGTCATGAAGTCATTACATCTTTTATCCAAGCTCCCTTTCCTGTTTTAAGCTTGGCTCAAGGTACTGCAAAAACCCTCCAGGAAACCAAAACACTCCCAGAAAAATACTTTTCATGGAGAAAACTAATTCAACTCTGCTGTTTGTCAGCCTGGGGACAGGAGGGGAAACTGAGGCCCGTGGCTGCTTCCTGGGGACAGCTCCATTTGTGGAGTGGAGCTGCCCTCCAAAGGTGAGGGAAAGAAGAGAAACACGGATCCTTTGCGAGCTTAATTTGGGAGAAATGAGGGGTTCTGGCTATTTTTGGGGTGGAGGAAGGGGTAGGTGCTTATGTGGGAGAAAGGGCCTGGCCAGGCTGTCCCACAGCACAGTGGCACCAGGTCAGAGCCGAGAGGGCTGGGATTGCTCCTTTCCACCTAAAATCGTAGTGAGATTTGGGTCAGGGCTCCTCCTGTCCAACCTTTTCTCCTGGTCCCTGAGCTCCTGCCCTGGATCCATCTCCCTGTGACCCCCCGTTTCCACAGCTTCCCGTAACAGGGCACAGCGCTGGGATTGGAGCGACCTCTCTTACGGGAAGGGAGGAAATGCATTTTCCTTTGATTCCTGAGTGATGGGCTCGCTCAGGGATCGGGTGTCAGCTGGGTCCAGGGCTGTCCCCACACACAAAAGGGCCCTTGTCCCTCCTCACGCAGACACTGCCAGACTCTGTGTGTCTGCAGAGACTCTTTCAAGTCCATTTTCCTCCTCTCAGCTGATCATTCCCATGCAGAAACCAGCTGGGATGCTGGAGAAGTGGGTCTCAAGGCCAGCAAGCAGGACGTGGGAGCTGGTCACCATCAGCCCAACACTAACCCTGTTAAAACCACCCTCACCAATAACAGCCAGCCCAGGCAGAGCCCCCGTGATGGTGAATCAACCCTTTGGCAAGGTTTGATTACAAATGTGGGGATGTGTCCTCTGCCAGAAAAAGCTGAGGACCTCTGAAATCAAGACCAGTCCCAGGGATTGCTCCTGGAAAAGCACAGCTCCACTTTCTTGCCCTCTCTGCCTGGGGTTTAGTAGGACCCAATTTTCATGGTGCTCAGCTGAGTCACTCTTTGTGGCTGGTTAAACACATAATGGAGCATCTTTCCTGCTCTGGGATACAGGAATCCAAATTTCTGTGGGAACCTGGTTGGAAAGGTGGACTGGGACATTGAACTGAGCCCAGGATTTGTTGGTGCACCTTAGTTCCACCTCTGTGCTCCAGATGCAAAACGAGGTTAAATAAAGCTCCCTTTTATCTGTTTGACCATCAATCCTCTGTGGCAAGGACCACCTCAGCTGTGTCAGCACCCAACACCGTGGTCTCTGTGGGCGGGTGATGAGCTGGCAGGAGGCACACAGGGCCAGTCTGGAGTCATTGTCACCTGCAGAGATGGCACTGCCAGCTGTGCTTGTGGGTCACTTGGGGACAGCACCAGCCAAGCATTGATGGCAACCTTGGTGGGAGGAGAAGGGAAGGGTGTAGGAACAGTAATAATGACCTCCTGGACCTCCCGGCGTGTCACAGCACTGTGGCACTGGGGTGTTCTCATCTAACCCCCCTCACCCAGGGATGAATCCCTGCTCCACGTCCTTACAGCCTCTTTGCTTTCCCCTCCAGGGCAATGGCAAACCTCACGATCCCTCCAGACTGGACCAGAGTCACCAACAGCTCCTTGGACCCGGGTGGCACAGACGACAACCCCTACAAGTGCATATTTGATGAGGACTTCAAGTACATCCTGCTGCCCGTGTCCTACGGCATCGTGTGCGTGGTGGGGCTCTTCCTCAACCTGCTGGCCCTCTACGCCTTCATCTTCAGGATCAAGACCTGGAACGCCTCCACCACCTACATGTTCAACCTGGCCATCTCGGACACGCTCTACGTGGTGTCGCTGCCCCTCCTGGTGTACTACTACGCCATGGGGGACAACTGGCCCTTCAGCGTGGGCCTGTGTAAGATAGTCCGCTTCCTGTTCTACACCAACCTCTACTGCAGCATCCTCTTCCTGCTCTGCATCAGCGTCCACCGCTTCCTGGGCATCTGCTTCCCGCTGCGCTCGCTGCAGTGGGGGCACGTCCGGCACGCCCGGCGCGTGTCGGTGGCCGTGTGGGCGGTGACCGTGGCCTGCCAGTCGCCCGTGCTCTTCTTCGTCACCACCAGCGCCAAGGGCGACACCATCACCTGCCACGACACCTCCAGCAAGGAGCTCTTCGGCCAGTTCGTCATCTACAGCTCGGTGATGCTGGTGCTGCTCTTCTGCATCCCCTTCCTCGCCATCATCGTGTGCTACTGCCTGATGGCGCGGCGGCTGCTCCAGCCCACGCGCGGCATCTCCCGCCTCTCCCGCTCCAAGAAGAAGTCGGTCAAGATGATCATCATCGTCCTGGTGGTCTTCATCGTCTGCTTCCTCCCTTTCCACGTCACTCGGACCCTGTACTACTCCTTCCGGAGCTGGGACCTGAGCTGCCAGACCCTCAACGCCATCAACCTGGCCTACAAGGTGACCCGGCCCCTGGCCAGCACCAACAGCTGCCTGGACCCCATCCTGTACTTCTTGGCGGGGCAGCGCTTCATGAAGTTCAGGGGGAACAACGTGCTGGGGAAGCCCCACAATGAGGTGGCGCTGGGCATCGTGCCCAACAGCCACCTGGGAACCACCAACGACACGGACACGTTATCCAAGGATCTGAAATCCTAGAAAGCCTGGCTCTGCTCTGGCAGCAGGAGGGTTTATCCCGGGGGTGGAGGGAGCTCAGGATGCTCTGGGGCCTGAGGCTTTGGGTGTTTGCGGTGCCTGACCGAGCACCTGCTCCAGTGTGGACTGCATTCGATGTGCTCCTCTGCTTGTTGCTGTTCCAAATGTATGTTTTTTGGGAAGATGAAGCTGTGGTTCCACACACAAACCCTGGATCTCTGCCCCTTCATCCAAACCTGCCCCTCTGTTGAGGCATCTCCCCGCCCGTGAGGCTGGGTGACTGAATCTGCTAAAAAAAAATCATGCCCTGAATACCTTAAAGCATTTCTTCTAAAGCAAAAACGCTGTGTGGGAAAGGTCCCCCCGAGGAATTCCACCTGCCTGTCTCCAGATCTCCTGGCACAGAGGCAGTAGGAGTTCCTCTGTGCCTTGGCAAGGGAGGAAGGGCTTTGGGTCCATGAAGAGCTGTGGTTCTGCTAAACAGGTTCACGAAAATGTCAGGTGCAAATATCACCGGGAGCGGGAAAGGGTCTCCCAGGGCTTTGCATCCCTGAAGAAATGCTCTCCCGGCTTCAAGCCCAGGCACCTGCTGGCAGAGCTGGGAGGGGACTCCTTGTTTCTGTCCAAGGGCTGGCTTCCCATGAACAAGGGTGCTGATGGACCTTCCACCCCACTGGAGTTCACTGGCACCGTCAAGCAGATCCCCTGTAGGTTTCTCCAGTGGGACCAACATCTTCCAAAAAACCCATTAGCGCTTCCCAACAGCAATGTTCGTCCTTTAAAAGCTTTTAGGAACCTTTCGGACCTTCCTTCCAGCTGCTGGCTTTAATAATCATCTCCAGCTCATTAAAATTTAAGGTGGGCTCTTCATGGCTTGCTTTTAACCCCCTCACTGGTGGCTCGTGTTTCCAGCCAAGGGGCAAAGCCCAGTGTTCATCCCCTTGGTGCTGCCACATCCTCATTGCTGCTCAGAGGTGACCTTTAGCAGCTTGGCATGACCCAAAATGCTGCCCAGATGCTGCTGTCTGGTCTCCCCATAATCCCAGTATTCCCAGTGCTCCACTGGAACCGGTCAGCATATCCCTTACAGACAAGGCAGACCTTCCCTGGGAACTTATCCCTTACAGACAAGGCAGACCTTCCCTGGGAACTTTGGCAGTGCTAAAGCCTGGCTTGAGGAGCCGCACCGGTAAGCATGGTGCTAAGTTTAACCCAAATCCTGTCTGGATTTGGCCTTGCATCCCTCATCAACCAGGACAGTTCAAAAGAAGAAAACCTCCACAAAACACTTCACCAGGAGGTCCACTTGGTCTTCCCCTCAGTAATTGTTGGGTCGGAGAGCCAAGAGCCCCAGTCCGTGGTTTCCTTGCCATGAGGGTGCTGATTCCTCACCCCAAAAATGAAAATTGCTTCGTGCTGCAGCACTGGACGAGTCACATTTTGTCAAAGCTATATTTTGGGATTAGACAAACACGTTTGATGTTGGTTTAGACCAAAACCTCAGAGCGCTCCTCAGCTTCTCCCATCCCCCTTTCTTGTGAAGTGGTTTGGTGGAGGCAAAGGCGCGTCGTGGTTCTGTGGGATTGGGGTGACTGGGACGGGTCAGGGTTAACTGGGAGGTTCCTGTGGTCCCACCTCAGAGGAGTCACAGTCCCATGGAGGGGTCTCATCCCACCCAGCACTGCCACAACCACAGGAGGCAAAGGAAGGCTCTGTGTCAGCTCTGAGAACCATCAGCAAAGGTAAATGGGACATTTTTGGGGTGGTTCACCCCACACTTGAGTGTCCTTCAGGCTCCGATTGGGTTAAGACACAACTTGCACCATGGCAGCACCTTTTTTTCCCTGGGGCCTGTGGAGGGAACTTGGCTTTGTGGGGAGGTCATGGCACGGTCGCCGGGGCGAGACAAATCGCTGGGAGAAATGAGGAGAAACGAATTCAAGGGGAGCACTGAACTGGGACAAACGTTACTCCAGGCCAGGTCTGGCCCGGGCTCCTGCACTCACCCAAAAGCAGCGCGAGCACAGAGTTCCGTGCTCGGAATAATTCAACAAAAACCTGCTCAAAGCTCCAAAAATGGGCCCAAAGTTCCTGCAGTCCCACCTGGAGACCCCACCTTTTGATGCCCAGCTGGCATCAAACCACCCCCCTTGGGCAACACAGCCAGTCCTGTCAGGGATGTCCTCTGTCATCCTGATCCTGATCCCCGAGTGCCACTGAGCAGTTGGAGAGGTACCAACTAGAAATCTGTACCTAGAAACATTTTTTTGTTTGTTTGTTTGTTTGTAAAAGCGCTAACTTATACTAAAAAAAAAAGAAAAAAGGTGAGTTTTATGACAATGTGACTGTACATTTTTATTTTTGTAACATGCAAACACCTCGGATTTCTGATAGTAAATGAGTTTATTTCTATGAGCACTCTCCTGATGTCTCCTCTGATGTGTGCAGAGATGTTTCACTCCACATGCTGAAAGCTCTTGTTCTCACAGGCTCCTCACCTTCCCCTGCAGACACCAGGAGGAGGTTTCCTGACCTTACCACAGTCCCCATGAATAAACACATTTTGTTTCCCGTTGCAGTTTATCTTGGTCCCCAGCCTGGGACAAGGCTCAGGACACGCTCAGCTCCACTGATGAATTTATTGCAAACTGGGATTAATCACCTTGGAATCTGATCAGCAACGATCTGAGCAGCTTGAACAGGAACTTCTGTGGGATATGGCTGATCTCTGGAATTGTAATTTTATAGAAACCCACTGCTTTGTGCATCCCTGGAAGTGTCAAAGGCCAGGTTGGAGCAACCTGGGCTAGTGGAAGGTGTCCCTGCCCGTGCCAGGGGGTGGAACGAGATGAGCTTTAAGGTCTCTCCCAATCCAAACTCCTCTGGGATTCCATGGCTCTGTGATCCTATGAATTCCTTTGTTTTCATCCCAAAGCTGATTTCTCCAGCCTTTAAATCGGTTTACACTTGATGTCCCACTGCCCCTGTGGGGTGGGGCAGAAGCACTTCACGGTCCCCTGCCCCGGGGGAGAAAGCTCGGCTCTGCTTTCTCTCTTCAAGAGCTTTCTAGTTGCCAAAACAAAAAACCTCACAAGCATAAAGACAAAAGAAACGGCCGCAGACCCCAAAATTGCTAAATTAGATGTCCCAGAACGGACCTTCTGAAAACCCCCTCTTGATTTTCAGCCCGGATCCAGCGTGAATTCCACAGGGATGACGTGAGCAGGTTTAGCTCGTGGGATTTACGGCATCACATCCCAATCTCTGCTGCGCTGACTCGTGTGAGTCACTCACAGCCAAGAATGAGAATTAAGGAAGAAAAATATCCATTGTCAGGGAACAGACACCCGAGCCCAAACCACTTCTTGGGAGCATCACGCAGCACCGGGGGCAGGAAGGGAAAGTTAAGAGCACTGATGGTTCCCTGCCAAGGCAAGAAATCTGCCACATGGGCTGGAGGGATGACACTCCTCCTAATCCCAGAGGAGAGCTTTTCCTTCCTCATCATGCCTTTTAGGAAGCAGATCCTTAATCAGAGTGAGGCAGGCAGTGGGCCACGTGTTACTGTAAAACACTTGCTACATCCACTTCTTTTTCGAGTCCTGGCTCTATTTTAATTCTGGTTTTCTTTCTTGGAGCTTGGTTTTCCAAGGAACAAGTCTGTCTGCCCCTCTGAGTCGTTTCTGTTCTGCCTGGCCAGTTTAATAGAGGGGCAAAGTCTCCACCCTGTTGAGCTCCTACAAGTTTCATGGGAAAAATACTTGTGATAGGAAGGAGAAGGAGCCAAAGGAGCCCCCACTCAAGAGCTCAAACTTTATATTAGACACCAGAGAAACCTCCCCCACTTCCCTCATGCCTGTAGTGGCTTGGGAAAGTGTCCATCAGTGCTGAGTGAGGGAAGGTGACAAATGGTGGCCCAGAGCCATCCAGGAGACCAACGTTGTGTTCAAACAGAGGGAGGAGATTCCCAAATCCCACAGACTAATATTACTGCAGAAATTTCCCAAAATGGATGGGCCAAGGTAGCAATTTCTGAGGAGGAAACCACAGCAGTGGGTGCTTGAAATAACACATCAATCACCCGGCTTTGTGAGGAGTTTATTTTTAAGGCTTTCACGGGTTCAATACCAATATTTGCAGGCTCCTTGACAAATAAATGCTCAGGAAAGCCTGGAAGTTTAAAATACCCTCTTTTCTTGTTTATTTAAAATTTCTCCTCAAATACATGCAGGTTTAAGCCCTGTCTAAGCACCAACATCTTGGAGTGTGTTTTGGGGAGCAGCTGGACTGTCACACTGAATCCCATCTCTTGACTGGGTGGGTCTTGAAGCCCCATTTGATGGGAGAATGGGAAATTCCCCCACCAATTCCTGCTCCTCTGCTTTTGCCACTCACTGTGGAAAGGCAACATGTGACAACCCCATTTCCAGCCCCCTCCAAATCCTGGGGGAGCCCTGAGATGCCCTCAAACCACCGAGCTTGGGAAGAAAGGGATGGGGGGTTCTCAGCTGAGATCCCACCCGGAGGGATGAGCGCTGGGAGACCTTGGAAGGCAGAGGAAGGTGCATGGAAGACCCTGATCCCAGCAGTGCAAAACCCATCCTGTGCTGATTTTTAATTGGGAACCAGTTCAACTGAAGAGGCTGAACCTGCTGCAGGAGAGTCCTCTGCTGGTGCTGAGGGGATGTGGCAGCAAGAGGTCAATCCAGAGGGAAAATGAACCCCATGGGAGTGCTAAAATTCCCTAGGAAGACCCTGGGAGCACAGCAAGGGATGGGAGAAGAGTCCCAGGAGAGCAGTGGGAGGATTGGGGTCCTTGTCCCTTCCACTCCTACCCAGGCACACCTAGACACTCAATGCAGGGTCCTGATTTTCATCCATGGGGCTTTGCAGGGAATTGGGAAATTTTCTCTTCGCTCTGCACTTTCCCTTTTGTGGCCTCTCCTCCTGTGCCCTGTGGTTTTCATGGCAGAGGAAGAGCCTGGTCACCATCAGCTCATCCCCCACCCTCCTACCCGCTGCTCCAGCTCCTTCCCTTTCCCTGCAGAAGGGTTGGATGCTCATTTAACAGTGTTCCATCCTTTTTCTCAGCTGGGGTGGAAACTGGCTGGACACCGTTGGGAAAGGAGCCCAAGTGTATGGATGGAGGTGGATTCCATTCGGGAAGGACCTTGGCAGGTGCCCTTCCCAACGGGGTTTCCCACCAGGTCTGCGTTTGGAAACAGGTTTGTTGTGGAAGGATGGCCCTGGGCAGGGGGTTCCTGGTCGGGGGGTTCCTCGGGGCTGTGACGCTCTGCAGAGCTCCAACCAGGGCAGAAAGGTTGCCAGAAGGGGAAGGTGCTCAGGGGATGCCACATTGGGTTGGCAGAGCTTCTGGTCCTCCTCGGGCAAAGGGTTGGATGAGCTCAGCTTCGGGCCAGGAGGAAGGGACAATGCTGTGGTTTCAGGGAGCAGTTGGGCACCCCAGAGCCTCCTCCTCCAGTGCAGGAGCCACGGCCACAAGGAGAAGATGTATTTCCTGTGGTCCCGGTCTCCAGGGGTACATGCCCCACCTGAGTGGATTTGGAAGCTTCCGTGGCAGGTACAGGAGACAGGATGTAGGAAAGGGATCCATGGAGCCCTTCGATCCAACCCGTGCTCAGAACAGGCTCCCAGCTCAGATCACCCTGGACATGACTCCAGGACACGCATCTCAAGGAGGTCCTTGGCTGCGTGGCCCAGAAAGGCCTTCTCCTGTCCTCTGGCCATCAGGAAAGCCCATCTGGCCAGCTGGGAGTTGCCAAGTGACACCAACTGTTCCCCAAACAGCTCCTGCAGCCCCGTGCTCAGCAAGATGCCGCTGCTCCGATGTCTCCCCCTCCCGCATCCTCCACGGATGAGCTCACGGGGCTGGCACTCAAAATAACCCAGCGGGGGCAGCAGTGGGTGGGCAGCGCTGGCACCGCACACGTCAGCCTTCCCAAAGCCATCTGCACACCGCGGCATCCCAGAAACCACGGGGCTTGGCCAGGGAAGCATCTGAAGCCCTGGAGCAACTCCCCATCTTCTCCTCCTGTGGGCTCCTGGCTGGGTGGTCTGGGCTCGGGGACCCCTCTGTGTCCAGCTCCTGG